TATTATTTTTTTGCATATGTTATAATACATTTGCTTATTACCGCAACCTCAAAATATCTAGCGTCACCATCACACGCTTATTGCTAACACACACCAAGACTTCTGCCGAGAACTGATTACCCAACCACCACTCCCCACCACAACCCCCCACACACCGCCGCCACAAGGAGACCCCCAGCGTCCCAACCGCCACCTCTCGCGAGACACAGCACGTTTGACGCCACCGCTTTGAACTTTTGTCACATTCCTTGCGAGATATTTGTGCCAAAAAAACGAACTTGTGTTTGAAGATGTTAGAGCAAATGTGGGGGAGGAGGGGGGGGTGGTGTCTGATAGGCCAACCAATCACAGCTTCGTCTCAATCGCCAGGCTGCGTACTATGGCAGGACGCCTTTGGAGCACTTCCTGGTTACGACACGACGTTTCCATCACGTTTACCCCCAAAAACAGCGCCAAACAAAAACCGACAGTTCGAGAAATACGGAAAGAAACAACAAAACCAAAAAATATACATGGAATTTTTTTTTTTTCTTGTTATTGGAGGAGGAGAGTCGCTTTGACGGCTTCGGCGGCAGCAAAACCTGCGACGGATTTTCTCCAGGCTGGCGTGCGCAGTGGAGTGGTAAGACCTACCTGCTATTATTCTAACCCACAGGGCCTGCTATGATCCAGAAATATAACCGTTAATAAATAAACGCATTGTCAGCAGATTGATGACTATGTTTTAAATAATCAAATTTTAAATTTATTTTTAAGTTTGTAGATTTATTTGTTTGTAACTTTAGTATTTTGAATTGAATACTTAAATGTGGGTACAAAACCCGTAAATAACTGACTTGAATAACTACTTTCAACACCCCATTATTTTTTTTTTTTTTTTAAATTTAATGTTTGTTTGAGAGCCAAAGCTGTTGAAAAATAAAATCATTTTTGTCTAAATTGTTATCCCCCTCTATCTGCCTGATGTTTATTTTGCAATTTACTGTATATATATAATATATATATATATATATATATAAGTACACTAAATTGCCCAAAAGTATTTGCTCACCCATCCAAATTATTGGAATTCGAGGTGTGTCAATCACTTCCATGCCACAGGTGTATAAATTCAAGCACCTAGGCATGCAGACTGTTTTTACAAACATTTGTGAAAGAATGGGTCGCTCTCAGGAGCTCAGTGAATTCCAGCGTGGAACTGTGATAGGATGCCACCTGTGCAACAAATCCAGTCGTGAAATTTCCTCGCTCCTAAATATTCCACAGTCAACTGTCAGCTGTATTATAAGAAAATGGAAGTGTTTGGGAACGACAGCAACTCAGCCACGAAGTGGTAGGCCACGTAAACTGACGGAGCGGGGTCAGCGGATGCTGACGCGCATAGTGCGAAGAGGTCGCCAACTTTCTGCAGAGTCAATCACTACAGACCTCCAAACTTCATGTGGCCTTCAGATTAGCTCAAGAACAGTGCGCAGAGAGCTTCATGAAATGGGTTTCCATGGTCGAGCAGCTGCATCCAAGCCATACATCACCAAGTGCAATGCAAAGCGTCGGATGCGGTGGTGTAAAGCACGCCGCCACTGGACTCTAGAGCAGTGGAGACGCGTTCTCTGGAGTGACGAATCGCGCTTCTCCATCTGGCAATCTGATGGACGGGTCTGGGTTTGGCGGTTGCCAGGAGAACGGTACTTGTCTGACTGCATTGTGCCAAGTGTAAAGTTTGGTGGAGGGGGGATTATGGTGTGGGGTTGTTTTTCAGGAGCTGGGCTTGGCCCCTTAGTTCCAGTGAAAGGAACTCTGAATGCTTCAGCATACCAAGACATTTTGGACAATTCCATGCTCCCAACTTTGTGGGAACAGTTTGGAGCTGGCCCCTTCCTCTTCCAACATGACTGTGCACCAGTGCACAAAGCAAGGTCCATAAAGACATGGATGACAGAGTCTGGTGTGGATGAACTTGACTGGCCTGCACAGAGTCCTGACCTCAACCCGATAGAACACCTTTGGGATGAATTAGAGCGGAGACTGAGAGCCAGGCCTTCTCGTCCAACATCAGTGTGCGACCTCACAAATGCGCTTCTGGAAGAATGGTCAAAAATTCCCATAAACACACTCCTAAACCTTGTGGACAGCCTTCCCAGAAGAGTTGAAGCTGTTCTAGCTGCAAAGGGTGGACCGACGTCATATTGAACCCTATGGATTAGGAACGGGATGTCACTTAAGCTCATATGTGAGTCAAGGCAGGTGAGCAAATACTTTTGGCAATATAGTGTATATATATATATATATATATATATATATATATATATATACACGGTATATATATAAACATAATACAGGAAAAAAATAAAAATATAAAAACGAAAAAATAAGTTAAATAGTGGATCTAGATTAAGTAAAATTTAATTTCTAATAAATCATGTAATAAAGATAGATGACTGAATAAAAATAAATATTTTTGTCTATTTTTTTCTACAGGTCAAAACGGCATGTGCTGACATGCACAACATCTGCCTGGGAGCTGGTGATATCACGGCCCCAGAGGATGACATGCCAGAGGATGAGAAGGGGAGAACGGGCAGTCAGTGGTGCTCCATGGAGGGACCAGCTGTCTGCCAAGGTGTCTGCCCCTGGAGGAGGGTCTACCCGACCACCATTACATTTAGATTGTCACATTTTAGCACATTTTAATCACATTTTAGCTGTTATTTCAGGGTAATGAAAACAGTTTTAGTAAAGTCATTATTTTCTTCGTCATTTTAAACTTTTTTAGTAACATGGCAGCCGTCAATTGGGGCAGCTGTCGATTGGGTCAGCCCTGCAAACCCTGATGGATGATGTGGTGAACAGTGGAGAGAGGCACCCCCACCCCCCAGATGATGTCCCACTCACAGTCAGAAGACTCCAAGGTCATCTGTGTGGCATCGCATCCAGTCCAGCAGCACCACCAGGGACTCCTGCTCAGTCACAATTGTATATATATATATATATATATATATATATATATATATATATATATATATATATATATATATATATATATATATATATATATATATATGTTCTCTAGTAATATTTACTGTATATCTTCTGTAAATAGTTGTAGTAGTTAATTTTAAAATCTAATTTCAATACTTAATAGTTTATTGTAAATACTTGCTTCTCTAAAAATAAACTGATGTCACTGAGAAGTTGTTCTAAGTTTACTTAAATTATAAAGAAGTGATGAAACAGATAAAAGACTTTAAGAACACACCGACAACAATAACTTTTATAAACAATTTAATAATTTCATTTAATAACAGCAACACATAACCTGAACTTGTTAAAAAAAAAACACCAAAAATAATAATGTCTGTCCACCATCCTCTCCAATAAATGAAATAATCTGTCCATCCTATCCCGCTTCCCTCTGCCATCTGATATCCTCCCTGATTAAATCCACCAACTCGTCTCTCCTTCTTCTCTTGCTCCTTTCCCCTCTCTCCCTCATTCTCTTCCTCATCGTCAACCTGGTGCTGCTCAGCCTCTGCAGCACCTGGCCCTGCTGTGTCCTCAGGGATGGAGGCAATTAGGACAGGTGGGGCATTAGGGGGCCTCTGTCCTAATACCTCATCCATGAGGACAAACCAGGGCCAGGTGGCAGCAGTAGGCTTCCCACTGACCCCCTGTTTTCTGTAGTGTTTCTTTAAAGCTAGAAAAAAGGAAGGTTTCATGATTTGGATGGATTAATGAAATTCTACAGAAAAAGACTTTGGAATGGTAACCTGGAGATTACTTTTTTAAGCTTACTCAAAATTAACATGAATATAATAAATGTAAGATGTAATTTCCCTACACACACACACACACATATATATATATATATATATATATATATATATATATATATATATATATATATATATATATATATATATATATTAGTGTGTGTGTACATTATCCAAACCTGAACATACTTTGTATTTTTTTTTTTTAAGTTGTCCCACACAAGAATCACTTCTATCACAAATATGAGATTTACAAAAAGTGGCATCTGTGCATCATTTGATGTGATCAAATTATTATATATTTGTACGTTGGTGTTTGAACAGGACTTCTTTTAACTTGTGTGACTTTTACATAGAAATGCAACACGTAGATGGAATTCTGCCTCAACTCTTCGCTCCATCCGACTGCAGCAGTATTTTTGGCCCCGATGATGAAGTGGTCATTTTATCCACTCCTCTGTCTGCTCCCTGGAACAAAATGACATGTAAAGCATATTTCTGTTATGTCAACAGGCAAAATGACTGTTCTGTATAATTACACTGGTATTGTTCTTCAAGTGAATTATACTTTAAACCTTATTATACTGTACTGTAAATTAACTATACATTATTGAGTATTAAAACAAAACGTTTACAGTATTAACAGCCCAGTACAGCTGGACTAATGTTATTTCTTCAGCTGCATTAAGCTTTAAAAGTTCTAATACTTTGTAATAAACTGTTTGAGAATAAAATGATCTGATTAGTGAGGGATACGGCTATCAGTACAGTACGGAGCCCCCTAGGGGACATGGGGAATTTTTTTTCTTTTGCGTTCCCTCGCAATACTTTTGCGTTACCTCGCAATACTTTTGCGTTACCTCGCAATACTTTTGCGTTCCCTCGCAAAAACTTTTGCGTTCCCTCGCAAAACCTTTTGCGTTACCTCGCAATAGGGCTTGGTCGTCGTGACCATGTTGAGGGCGCACTTTACGGCTTCCTTAGACTATTGCCTGTGTTCTCCCTCTCAGCCGTGTTTTATTTCGTTTAATTTCACCGTAACTTGATTTCAACCATGGTAAACCGTTGCTGTATTGTGGGCTGTAACAGCGCATCACATGATCGCCGAGGGAAAAACCTACGAAATGGGATAACTTTCCACCGCTGTTCTGCCTGGAGGCGCAAACACGGAGACCAAGTTTCACAGATAACAAAGAGTCGTCGGCTAGCTTGGATCGCGGCTGTAAGACGACAGAACAGAACTTTCCACAGTATCCTGATGTCAATGCGAGTGTGTTCCCTGCATTTTCATTCTGGTAAGTTAAAGATGCACGGTTTTATTTTATAGCCTACAGTGTTTCCTTCCTTCATCCGTGGCACCACATACAAGCATGAACGCGCGCCCAGAGACTGTTGATATAGCATTTTCATCCTCGTTGGTTGATATAGCATTTTATCCTCTTTGGTAGAACACACTGCCAGTTCCTACAAGGACAGGGACATCCTACGGAGCCCCCTAGGGGACATGGGGAATTTTTTTTCTTTTGCGTTCCCTCGCAATACTTTTGCGTTCCCTCGCAATACTTTTGCGTTCCCTCGCAATACTTTTGCGTTACCTCGCAATACTTTTGCGTTCCCTCGCAAAAACTTTTGCGTTCCCTCGCAAAACCTTTTGCGTTACCCTCGCAATAGGGCTTGGTCGTCGTGACCATGTTGACGGCGCACTTTACGGCTTCCTTAGACTATTGCCTGTGTTCTCCCTCTCAGCCGTGTTTTATTTCGTTTAATTTCACCGTAACTTGATTTCAACCATGGTAAACCGTTGCTGTATTGTGGGCTGTAACAGCGCATCACATGATCGCCGAGGGAAAAACCTACAAAATGGGATAACTTTCCACCGCTGTTCTGCCTGGAGGCGCAAACACGGAGACCAAGTTTCACAGATAACAAAGAGTCGTCGGCTAGCTTGGATCGCGGCTGTAAGACGACAGAACAGAACTTTCCACAGTATCCTGATGTCAATGCGAGTGTGTTCCCTGCATTTTCATTCTGGTAAGTTAAAGATGCACGGTTTTATTTTATAGCCTACAGTGTTTCCTTCCTTCATCCGTGGCACCACATACAAGCATGAACGCGCGCCCAGAGACTGTTGATATAGCATTTTCATCCTCGTTGGTTGATATAGCATTTTATCCTCTTTGGTAGAACACACTGCCAGTTCCTACAAGGACAGGGACATCCCTCTCCATTTTCAAAAAAAACCCTGAGGTTGACAGCTGTCATAGCACCACTTATAAATTTTGCTGATCCTAGCGCTTACCAGCCGTCTTGTAATGTAATGTAATCATATAATACAATTTAATAATGTGTATATTGAGGATCATTGATAACATTATGGTTCTATATGTGTTCAACACTGCTGCTGTGGATAATAATTTTAAATTGTGTCACCAGGAAAACCAGCAAATGAAATGTACACCTCGCATCCGGATTGGGCACCATCACTACACTTGGGCCACACTGAGATAAAGGCCACACAGACTGCACGCTATGAGAGACAGGAAAAGAGAAAACGGCAAAGGACTGACAGTACACCTGCGAGGATGAGACAGCTATTGATGACCTTGTTCCACCCGGTAAGCCTTACAGAGCCAGCAGATTCAACACCGTATGTTGCTTTTGTGGCTTTTTCAGCTGCATGATGCACATTTAGCTAAAAGATGTCCTTATTTTATCCATAGTGGAGACACCAGCACCAGCTGAGGATGGAGCTGAGCAGACACCGCTGACAGAATGTGACTTCTGTCAGCGCCGGCGTGCTGAAATCAACCGGCTGCTGGAGGAGAACAGGACCCTGAAACGTGAGCTTGGCCAGAGACTTCAAGCTTAACACTAGCTTTGTGACCATTCATTCAGTGAAAGGAATCTCAAATCTTCATCAAAACATTATTCAAAATATTAAAAAAAAATTTAAGAATAATTTGCTGAAATAGAAATCAGCATTTGTTTGATACTTAGTGTTAGAAAAAAAATGTGTCCTAACAGGTTTTCTGAACCATCTTCTAATCTAGTCTCCCCCAGCTGCTGGTAGAAACAAGATTTTTTTACCATCATTCAGAAACTGGATAGGTGTTACATCTGTATTTTGTTGAAAATCATTTATTGAACATTGTTATTAATAAAATTTTAAGGAATAGATTAAATAGTCAAAGATCCGCAAAATATAAAAAAATAAACAATAGTGCAGTGCTGTGGCCATTCAAGTTAACTCCTAGTTTGAATCAGAGTCTTTCAAAGTGAACTATTTAGAAAAATGAGTGCAGTATTGACTGCGGGTTATTAAATCTGACCTCATAAAACACTGTAACGGGTAACTTTGAGCTTAAATCATTCAGTCAGAGGTATTATGCAGGTTTAAATGTCCTGTGCTCATTTCATTTCTTTTTCTTTTAAGTGATATAACAATATAACAGCGTGGTTGTTATACTTTACTGTTGTATAACTGTGATTTATATGATATGTATACACATGCATGAGGGGTTGAGGTTAACGTTTGCTTTCCAGCATAGAATGAAATATAATGGTGTCCTTACCTGCATAATTTATGTCTATTTTTTTTCTCCTCAGGTCTTGCACTCTCAGCGCATTAATGAGACTCCCCTGAAGCCATGGGTCATCATTGCTGACGATGGGCAGGTTTGCTGTGCACACTGTACATGCATGGCTGGAATTGCAGAGGCATGTACACATGTTGGGGCTCTGCTGTTTAAGATTGAGGCAGCAGTCCGCATCCGTGGGAAAAAGACTGTGACAGATGTGCCAGCTTATTGGAAAATACCAGCAGGTATCAACAAAGTCAGCGGTGAAGTCGCCCACAAGATGGACTTCACTTCATCCAAAGTGCAGAGGATTGCTCTGGACAGAGTCATCGATGACAACATTCCCATGCCTGGCCTACGGACACGGGCCAGCAGACGCACTGCCCAAGCCACATTGGACGACTTATCGTCAATGTTCCCTGTTCTTCAGAACCATAGGTCAGTTTGTATGTCCACAGTGAAGCCCTACTTTCACAACTATGCTGCTCCTGTCCAGCCAGCTGTGATCCCAAAACCCCTGCAAGACCGTCTGCGCGACCCAAAGTTTGAAAATGCTCCACCAGCTGTCCTTCTCCAGCACTGTGAGACAGTGAAAGACATTGCAGCTGCATATTATTGCACGTCGTTATATTACAATACAATTATAGATTATATTATTGTATATCATGACATATTGCATCGCAGCCTTTATTTATACAATTTAAGAAATGCATATTGTTAAAAGTAATTATATAAGACATTGCACTAACATTGTTTTTTAATGTGTACTATAGTACCGGTAATAATTTGCACTACTTCAAATGTTATTGATATCTGTTATTACTTAATTTGATCTACCTCCAATTTTTATGTTTGTAATTGAGGTTTCATAAATACGTATTTTTTATTACTTTGGAATTTTTTTTATACATAGACATTTTTTATAAAAAGCATAGTATTTTGTATTATTACATTGTATTGTTATATTTGCATATTATTGCACGTTGTTATATTATACAATTATAGATTATATTATTGTATATCATGACATATTGCATCGCAGCCTTTATTTATACAATTTAAGTAATGCATATTATTATAAATACTTATATAAGAATTTGCACTAACAGTGTTTAACTGTTAATGTTTACTATAACTACAATTTGTATAATAATAATTTGCAATATCTCCACTTTCCATTTCTCCATTGATGTTTCATTAAGACCGACTTATTAATAGGATTGAACATTTTGTATAAATACATACTATGTTATTGTAAGTAATTGCACTGCATTTTCATCGCGTCCATTTTTTATTTGTAACCATTTACCTACAAGCATTCAAACTGCACTGCTCTGTTCTGCGCTGCACTGTGTTCTCAAGTTTCACTACTTGCAAATAAACACTGAAAAGGATCTGATCGTTTGAGACCTCTTGCTTTTGGGTATGGATGCAAAACACACCTATGGCTAAAAAACAACCCACTTGTTAAATGTTTGCTTAGAGTGTATTGTTGATACAAAGAAATTGTCAATTCCATATTGAGCATCAATCTTTTCTTTAATACAGTAATTCATAAACACCAGAATAAAGTGGTTGACTTTAAGGTGTGGAAGTCCAGTGTAGTATTTCACTTTGACGGTGTCTTCCTTCAGGAAATCTTCATCCATTTTTCTCTGGCCAAGCTCACGTTTCAGGGTCCTGTTCTCCTCCAGCAGCCGGTTGATTTCAGCACGCCGGCGGTGTCTGCTCAGCTCCATCCTCAGCTGGTGCTGGTGTCTCCACTATGGATAAAATAAGGACATCTTTTAGCTAAATGTGCATCATGCAGCTGAAAAAGCCACAAAAGCAACATACGGTGTTGAATCTTCTGGCTCTGTAAGGCTTACCGGGTGGAACAAGGTCATCAATAGCTGTCTCATCCTCGCAGGTGTACTGTGTCCTTTGCCGTTTTCTCTTTTCCTGTCTCTCATAGCGTGCAGTCTGTGTGGCCTTTATCTCAGTGTGGCCCAAGTGTAGTGATGGTGCCCAATCCGGATGCGAGGTGTACATTTCATTTGCTGGTTTTCCTGGTGACACAATTTAAAATTATTATCCACAGCAGCAGTGTTGAACACATATAGAACCATAATGTTATCAATGATCCTCAATATACACATTATTAAATTGTATTATATGATTACATTACATTACAAGACGGCTGGTAAGCGCTAGGATCAGCAAAATTTATAAGTGGTGCTATGACAGCTGTCAACCTCAGGGTTTTTTTTTGAAAATGGAGAGGGATGTCCCTGTCCTTGTAGGAACTGGCAGTGTGTTCTACCATAGAGGATAAAATGCTATATCAACCAACGAGGATGAAAATGCTATATCAACAGTCTCTGGGCGCGCGTTCATGCTTGTATGTGGTGCCACGGATGAAGGAAGGAAACACTGTAGGCTATAAAATAAAACCGTGCATCTTTAACTTACCAGAATGAAAATGCAGGGAACACACTCGCATTGACATCAGGATACTGTGGAAAGTTCTGTTCTGTCGTCTTACAGCCGCGATCCAAGCTAGCCGACGACTCTTTGTTATCTGTGAAACTTGGTCTCCGTGTTTGCGCCTCCAGGCAGGACAGCGGTGGAAAGTTATCCCATTTTGTAGGTTTTTCCCTCGGCGATCATGTGATGCGCTGTTACAGCCCACAATACAGCAACGGTTTACCATGGTTGAAATCAAGTTACGGTGAAATTAAACGAAATAAAACACGGCTGAGAGGGAGAACACAGGCAATAGTCTAAGGAAGCCGTAAAGTGCGCCGTCAACATGGTCACGACGACCAAGCCCTATTGCGAGGTAACGCAAAAGGTTTTGCGAGGGAACGCAAAAGTTTTTGCGAGGGAACGCAAAAGTATTGCGAGGTAACGCAAAAGTATTGCGAGGTAACGCAAAAGTATTGCGAGGGAACGCAAAAGAAAAAAAATTCCCCATGTCCCCTAGGGGGCTCCGTAAAAAACAAACTACTTACATTTAAAGGTGTTCTCCGCTCTACTGCCGGCGCTGCTGCTGCTTTCGGTTGTCCGTAACTTCAAGAAAATCCGACTTTCTTCTTCTTTTTCTTCAACTACTAAAAAAAAAAAAAAAAAAAAAAGAAGCCAGGAAGTGCTCCAAAGGCGTCCTGCCAAGTACGCAGCCTGTGATTGGTTGGCCTATAGAACCCCCACCCCCCGCCCCCCTCCACATTTGCTCTCACATCTTCAAACACAAGTTCGTTTTGGCACAAATATCTCGCAAGGAATGTGACAAAAGTCAAAGCGTGGTGTCAACGTGCTGTGTCTCGCGAGAGCGCGTTTGTGTTCTTGAAGCAGCAGATTCAAGAAGCTGTAATGGCTAAATTGAGGTTGTAATGCAAGATTAACATATGCAAAAAAATAATAATTACAAATAAACTATCAATAATCATTTGTCAGCTGTAATTTTATTTGTGTAAAACTATATGAACACACCAGTAAATAGTTTTTTTGTGCATTCACATTTAAATCAGATTTGAGTGAAAATCCTCTTCAGGTGAAGATTGGACTGACAAGTGTAATTTTTTTTTTACATGTTCTTGCCTGATATTTCTTTTAGTGCAACTTCAAATTCAGTTTGTGTGTGTGCGGTTTTTCTTTACAGCAGAACATTTTGGCATACAAGTTCAGATTTTTGTGGTACAAATTCTCACATTGCATTCTCAAGTTTTCACATTAAATTCACAAGTTCGTTCATTTTGGCACATATTTACCTTCATAATTCAGCTCCTTAAGTGGTATTAGCTCTCTTTCTATAAGCTTCTCTCTCTGTCCTTCCTCTGCTTCTCATGGTCAGTCTTGCACATAGGTTTGTAGATTTTCAATCCTCCAAGGATGACACTGTTTTTTTATGCTGATCAACCGACACATTTTAAATAATTTTCCAATTGTTTTGCCAAGTCTTGACATTTCCACATATGATTTCAAAATGTTAATACTTATTCAATACCATCGTCCTCAACATTTTACTTCCCATCCTTAAGCTACTAATTTTTTCTTCAACCAGATAAGATTAAAGTTTTTCTTTGTAATTTCTTTTCTACTTCAGCTAATTTCATACTTTTCAGCCTATGTTGTGAACTTTGGCTTCATTCTGCTCTGTTTCTGGACAGGAATTAAGCTTTTCTGTTTGCTGCTAATTCATAACACACCTCACATCTTTCTGGAAAGTAGGTAAACCCCCCTTCAAAATTTCTTTATACATTTTTCTAGAAACTTGGGAGACATTATATTAAGACCCTTCTAGTGCCCACATTCAAGACATTTTTTGATATCATGTATGGTTTGGCTGTGCAGCTTTTAAGATGAGTTTGTTTCTGCCATTTTACTGCCAAATGATTCTACCCTACAAAATCTTCAGATGATTCAATTGTTTTCTGCAGTTTGAAGTTTCTAATGACTTCCTATCACATTTTCATATGTTCTGCAGGTAATTTCAGCTTTTTTCATTCAGCAAAAGCATTCCCACTTTGATGTTTCTCGAAACAGCTTTTTCTAGTCAAGTGGGAATGCTTATGCATTCCCACTTATTGTTGTTCACTTTAAATTTTTCTGACTCTAACTAGTCCCGCAGTTTTCAACCGATTTCAACAATTTTGGTATCAAAACGTTCAACTCGTTCAGGAGAATTCTGCTATGTCTTTTGGTAAAGATATTTTTGGTAGTTTTCGCGTTATTCAGCTTTTTCTGCGTTTTATTTGTCCCATTGAAATGCATGTAGAATTCTTAGATTTCAGCAAAATTCAGCTAAACCTTCATCATCTTTGACCTTTAACTACTTCAGCATACTTTCAGCTAGAAACACCATTCAACTTTTAAAATGTTTCCGTATCTTTCTGCTATTACTGTTTAACTCTGCTTTCTGCTAACTTTTACAGTTTTGCTTCAGTGAAGCTTCAAACTTTAAAAGAAATGTTTAAGATTTTCAGATTTATAATGGAAGTCTATGGACGGAATTCTTCAACTGCTAGAGTGCGTGCTCTAGCTTTTGAGCTGTTCTGGTTTTTCCGAACAAATTCTTCTCAGTCCCTCATTTTTAACTCAATTGAAATAAATTATACATCAAAACGTAGGGATTTTTGTCAGGATTCAGGAAATATAACCCTCATTTGTGTGGCATTTACGGTTTTCCGACAGTTTGGCCCAGACCATGAAGAAGTCCACACTTCCCCAATAGAAATCCAATAAGAGATTTTCCAAAAATCACAGACAAAATCCAAAACGATACATATTTTCGTATCGCTCCCATTTATTAACTATTTGATGTACTAACATGAAACTTGGTATACAACATCTTCAGAACCTTCTAGCACTCACATTGAAGGAATTTCTTCAATATCATTTATGGTTTAGCTTTTTAGCTGACTTGTTCGGGCATAGGAAAATGCTGATTCTGAGAAAAATCCTCAAACTCAGAAAATGCACATTTTTACATCGTCACCGTGGCCAAATAGTTTTTAGTAGAAACATGAAAGTTGGCACAGTCGAAGCCGAAGGATGGCTGACGCCAACGGTGAAATAATTTTTTGAATACCTTTTACGGTTTTAGCTCACCACTCGTTTGTTCGCAGGGAAAGTTTTGCTTTTGAGCGTTCTGCTCTACCATGTTGCTGCATGTTATTTAATGAGACCAGCAGGATTTATAAACCTTTATATTTCTCCTTCCCATTAAGGCTGAGAATGAGCTACAGCCATGAAAGTTACCCCAATTGGAGACAAAGGATAGCTGTCGCTTAGACTGAAAGAATTTTTTAGATACCATTTACGGTTTGTCTTCAGCAGTCTTTTGTTCGGAGCTGATATTCCCATTCAAA